CCCAGCCCCCGTGCTTCCTTCGGGTGGCATGGCGGCTAGGCACCGCAAGGGTGTTGCAGCTGAACGATTTTTTTCAGTCCTAGAAGCCATCTCACTATAATCCTATTCAGACCAGCAAACAGTTCATTTTTGAGGTCATGAGGCATTTTGGCCACTATAGGGTTGTTCTACTACTCTGTTCTACGTGATCTCAGGCAACTGGTGGGAAAGATCATTGCCGATGAGTCCTAAATCTCCATTACAGTCTGTTGTTTAATGGTGGGAGGTGTGAAACACTGTACCGTTCTGATCAACTATCCTGTATATCGATGACCGCGAGATGAGTGTTAGTGACCGATCAGTAGTTTGTAATTCCTCACCAAAGCTACCCGAATGAAATTGAATTATTTTGTACAAGTGTAGTGCTTGTACCATTTCCATACCTAGTCTATCGATATGAGAATTCCGCTCATTGATGACGATACAGGTGACAACATAAGAAGGATTAGGCACAAGGTCGTTTGGTTGCACTTTCTCATCACAGTTTGAAATCTTCAACTCATTTTTTAACTCACCTCATGTGGATGAACACTTCTGTTTGACTTTTTTCGCACCCACTTTTAAACTGAAAGCTTCCTCAAGTTACCAGAGGCACATCTTTGTATCAGTGGGACTCCGGCGTATTTGGAGAGCACAGCGCAGTTTTCGATGCGTAGCATCAATGCGAGCTAATGTCTATTCCGTCCTGCCAAGATGGTGGACTGATCAGCTTTTTTTTCGTTGCTCACCACGTGATTGAGATTCCTTTAGGGTGTACAAGTGTACTGGCGCATGCACGGCAAGCGTCTGGGGTGTGAAAACTGCGTTTGTGGCTACGTTGAAACAGCAACGGAGCCAGATTGATACTCATGCACTCAGTAAGAGTCTAGAGTAGCGATATGTAAAGGTGAAAGACAGGAAATACTCAATTCTCTCCCTAGGTAGGATGACACCTCGAGCGGTCGGATGATTTTATTGAGTTTTGCCTGGTTTTTGGCGCTTTGCACTCCAGCTCATTCCTGCATTGATTTCTGCTAGAATTGGTCACCTACTCATGGGGGATCAGTGCTTTCCAGTGGAAAATAGATGAGATGACTATTGACATTGATGACGAATGTCATCTTGGACTGCTGACTGGGTGCCTGTCAAACACATGCGTAACGGAGTTGATAAGCTCATCGATCGATATTTCAAGATCAGCCTTGTGCAGCACATTCGGTTGAAGCGGACCATCAGAGGTAGAGCTGGATTCATTTGAGCTCCCTGTGAAAACCAAATCCTTATGCAAATGAGAGACTACTTGTCGAGGAGTTTTCAGTAGTGTGTTCTGTCACGGAACTCTTTTTATCTGCTTTCATATTCGTCTCGTCAAGCAGGAAACGGTCAAATGAATTGGCTGCCTTGCCTTCCCTTTGGGTCTTCATAAACCCTTTGACGTTCGGTCCTCTGGTTTGTTGATCTGTTCCGATTAGAATCATGGCACATCTTTTATCATCCATAGTTGGCATGCATTCATTTCACACCGTATAGACAACCCACTTTGTGAATTCATTGAAACTTAGATACTCACACCTTAAGAGTCTTATCCAAGGAGTAGTCAGGACGATGAAGACACAAAGAGGTATGTCAGCTGAATAAATAGTGAGATGGGGTGAAAATCGTTAGAGGGTGTTTCCGTCACTTTGTGTTTAAAGTGTGACGAAATTTATCTCTATCGATCGTTTGTGCCGGCTTCCTTGGACAGATGAATCTGTAGAGCGTACCCCAAAAGGTTTCTTTTTAAACCGTGGTACTAGACACCTCTCCAATAAGGTAGCATTCAGAAAGAAATTTTTGGTTGATAACGGAAGGATCATTCTGCTTCTGCATAACACGGCAAGGAGAAGGCAGATTGTGGAATGTCAGCATTCCCCCTTTCCCTCGCCAGCCATCTCCCAAATAAAAGCAAGATGAACAGGATTAAGACGATGTGTGCACAATTCTAGTCCAGGGTGGTTGATCATCATTCGTCACGTGTTCTTCCTCTCGCTTTGAACGTGGTCTATTGTGTTACTTGGTAGCTACTCAGTGCAGTTCTCTGAGGACGGAATTCCTCTCGTTTTGAACGTGGTCTATTGTGTTACCTGGAAGCTACTCAGTGCAGTTCTCTGAGGACGGAGTTCACTGACCCTAAGCCATATTCCAGTGTCTACTCATTCGGGATGATTCCAGCACATCATTCAGAGTATTGCTCTGTAACCCGCAGTGTTCAATAAGATAAGAATGAACAACCATTACTGGCCATGTTTAGATGTACCCTGACATGGGGGCAGATGAATCAATCTGATCATTTCACACAGTGACGACACTTTCGTATCATTCCTGTTTGATTTGTACAAACTTGCTTGTATTTGGGAAGCGGATGGTGGATGGTAACGATAAAATATTAGCATTCCGCAGTCTTGCAATCTTCATGTTTTGTATCATTATTATACTATTGTCTTTTGCTCATATTCGGATTGTGTGCAAAGTGGCTGAACGGCAAATTTGGATGCTCTTGAACTGGCTAACTTATCCTCTTGGGAAGTTCACTCGCCGCCGCGCGCTGAGGATGTCACAAGACTCAGTTTTTGACCATCGATGTCTTCGAAGCATTGCCCGAATCTGGTGGGAACACCGGATCAGCATTGCTGAAGTTCGTCGAATGGTGTTTGGTAGAAATAATTCACCCTCGATAGGTGAACCGATCACACTGCATAGGTTGCGCTGGCTTGGCCACGTGCTGCGTATGCCAGTCGACCGACTTCCTCAAAGGGTTCTTTTCGCACAACCACTTGAAGGGTGGAAGAGAGCCAGAGGCGATCAAACAATGACTTGGCAGCGAAGTATAAAACCCATTACCAGCCAACTCAGCTACACTGGTCATTGCCGTCTTCCTGGATGGGGACTCCGAGACAAGCCACATCAATGGTTAGAGACGTTGTCAGACATGGCCCAGTCGCGGCCTCAATGGCGCTCGCGCATCCAAGCTATTGCCTTCAATGCATAACTCCCTTCCCAACCCCCCCACTTAACAATCCACCTACAGTATTTGCGCACTAATTTATCAGCTCCCGCCTTCAATTCGCAACTACCCACCCCACCTCACCGAATCATCGGTGAACAAAATTGTGACAGCTACAATCACTGTACGACAGGTGCGCGGTTCTTGCAGGTGATAACGATGATGATGATCTTTGGACTGGCCATACGTTCTGAAGGGTTCAGTCACTTGATGATGATGACTGACGCCAAACCTCAACAATACAATGAGTGTTTCATTGAAAAAGTCTCCATTAATCTCATCTGCACACAGATTTGGTTTTGACAGGTGAACCAAGTGAATCCAGGTGAACCTCTCGTTTATGATGTAGTCTGCTTCAACTGGTTCACCAGACCGCCCCATGTTCCGGTTGATACGATACTCAACAGATCGCGACACGTCATTGCTTAGACAAAACTCACTACTCAGAAGTTTGCTAAAAGTCTTCCACGACACAAACGGTTCTGTCCTTGGGTACTCATCAATTCCCACCAACCGTGTGTCTCAGTGGAAGCTGAATTGTATCCAGTTGAGTGAATTACTTCTGTGTTATGAAGAGACTCAAATGAATCTCTGGTTTGTGATGCTCTCCACCTTAGGGTGCGACACAAAGGCTGTGATTCGGATGAAGAAGGGCTACTTGGTGAGATTTTTTTCGCGGTTTTCTTATTCAGCGAGGTTTGTGCTCATTTTTCTTTTCACTGTTCACCCATGAATCGAATGGCAGATGGACAACCAGCCTCAAGTTAGAGACAACACTGGTCGAGATTGAACTATCCGCGCTGATCGGTTCATCTAATTGGCTCTCTCAATCAATAAGGACCACAGCTTTCTGGTTTCTCGAGTCCTTCCTACTGGGAACACATTCCATTTCACGGTTGTAATCCTTCAGTATCCCGGGTCTTCTTTCACCATGACCGATTCAACTAAGAAGCATGATTCATTGATCATAGAAGGAATGGGGAATGGGACTTCGTTTAGCGTATTTTTCCTCAGCTATTGCCTCACACAAATTTTCCCCTTGTTCTGCAGGCGGACTTCACCCCGTTGTTGTTTGCGTGCTATCACGGCCATTTGGCTTTAGTTCAAACACTTTTAGAACGCGGCGCGGACATCACGGTCACAGCACAGGTACGCTTTAACGTTGTCCATAAAAAAAGATTTATGTTCTTCTTATCGTAATAGAACAGGTGGTCACTCAGTGCGTACGGAAATATCGATGTTTTTAAACACAGTGCTTTGTTTGTTGGTCCCTTGCAATTGTAACACACACAGTACTTTCTGTTGCAGACGAATTGCCCACACCTGTTGCGAGTGTTCACTGCTTGTGTTCTCAGGTGGCATTCAGCCTCCTTAAGGCTGCAATCTGCCCTGTTTTCGCCCTCGTAGCACACAGATGGTGGTGCATTCTGCTGAGATCCATCAGGGCGCCTTTTTTCGGGCATTTTTTTCATAGATTTACTGTAGAAACGAGCGTCCACGGAGCATGTGTAAGATATCACGTTTTCCAAAAAACGTTATGAGTACGAAGTGAACAGGTGCAATATGGATGAGGGACTTTATTGGGCTCATATCTAGAAGACTGTGAGTTGGGACCTACCTAGAGATTCACCTCCAATAAGAATATGGAAGCTGTGCAGTTCGTCAGTTTGTTGTCACTCGCAGGGCGAAAACTCCTATCCCCGGAAAAAAACAATATGCTCAGAAATTGAGAATCAGGCACAATTCACGCGGGTCTTCTGGGACGCGGTCATTCCTAAAACCGGAAATTCGCAGTTTGCATGGCGCCATCTGCGTGAGTCGGTGATGGATTGTGGGATTATATCTGGAGGGTCAGATTCCTGAAAGTAACCTCAGAACGCTTTGAACCTACTGAGATCCTAAAACTGCACCAAAATCCTGGAAGCACCCAGGCCAGTCAATCATTCAATCAATTCAGCAAAACTTGATGAGTGTAGTTGCACGCCACAGAGGCACGGCGGAATGTGATCACTGTCCAGGCATTTCATAAAGGCACAATCGATGTCGCTGGGTGTTCACTGACGCCTATCAGACAGCTTTTATTAATGTCAAAAAGTCCCCTTTAAATAGCTTAGGGTCGTCGTAACTTTTGCTCTCGCACTCGCTTGTTCGGAATATAGCTGTTGTGTTCCCTTCTACGAGTCTTTTTTCCAGCACCAGGCACTGGAGTGGGTCAGCAGCAGATACAACAGATTACTAGGTCAGCCTTAACCTTATGGCATCGTTCATCTTCTCATTCGGAAGGATACAAATGTGAGGTTCGCCCAAGAGGTTCTTGACCAACGCGCTGCTGATGATCTCAAGGATGAAGCACATATGGTGTCTGTTCACCTCAGGCCTTCTCTCTCACGGTTCACACTTGTTTGATTTTTCATACACACCTAAATATCACGAGCTTTTGTTGTCGTTGTTGTGCTTACTTATCCAACGCTTTAGCTAGTCGGCTCAATGAATCGATTGCAAGTGATTCTGATCCACTCCTGTTACAGAATGGATGGACTCCTCTACACTGGGCTGCACAGCGTTGCCATGCCGATATCGTTGAGGTTCTTTTGGAACATGGTGCCTCGCGGTCAGTTGAAGACCTGGTACGTATTCAACACAAATTCTCACAGCAAAACTTTGACCCGTTGACTACGCCATTTTACCAAAACAGTTCCCTCTCAGAGGTAGTTTCTCCGGAAAGTGAGCCAATGAAAACTGAATGCAAAGCAGCGAAGTATGAAAGCCATTACCAGCAAACTCAGCTGCGCTGGTCACTGCCGTCTTCCTGGATGGGGACCCCGAGACGGGCCACATCAATGGCTAGAGACATTATCAGACATGGCCCAGTCGCGCCCTCAATGGCGCTCGTGCATCAAAGCTATTGCCTTCAATGCATAGCTCCTTTTCCAACCCCCCTCCCACTTGACAGCCCACTGACAGTGCTGGATTTATGCACCAATTTACCAGCTCGCGCGTGCAATGCGCAGCTACCTACCCACCCCCTCCCCCCAAAAAATCATCGGTGAACGAAACTGCGGCAGCTACAACCACTGTACGACGAGTTCGCGGTTCTTACAGCTGACAATGATGATGATGATGAATGCAAAGCCTGAAAAAATCTTTAGTGACGAAATTTGACTTTATTTGATACAACCCCCTCTTTGGATATCGTTCAGTGTGTGGTGAAATATGTCAATCGTAAGTATTAATGGCCATGGCTCTCCCAACCATTAAGTCCAATGGGAACGAAGCTCGGGCTCTAGTTGTAGGAGAAATGAACCGGGATGGAACAGAGTATCTCTCCGGTTTGTTTTACCCAACAACCATCAAGACCCTTCAAAATAGCAGGATCATTTGGTTGCTTGGTTGTTGGTCGGTTCGCCGAGCTTGGCAGTTGGATTGCAGACGTTTTATCACCAATCGAGGTGACATCATCAGTGCGGGGTTGACAACTGGCGTATACAACCTACCCCTTCTACTAGGTGATCTTAATGAGGTAATCCGTCCATTACAACCCGCCTTCGAGCTTCTTGACCCAAGGACCACAGAATTCCTGAAAATAGACGCTTTACTATGTGGTTCCATATATGCTACCATCAACTCAGCTTTAAAATTTGATGACGGGTTATCTCACTAGCTATGCTCTCTCACTGCCCCCAGTTCAGTTTAGGCTATAAGTCACATACCAAGAGTATATTGATTCCATCCGCTACATTTCCGAATGCGAGAAAGCGTGTGTTATACAGTCCATTGAGAACATCCTCAGAACAATGAACTACCGTCAGGTACTTCAGGGGTTGGTTTCTTTTCTGCTCTCAGGGGGAGACATTTGGCCGTTTTCCTAAGTTACTTCCCTGCCCAACTCTGGCTTACTATGAAATCGGATAAACTGATGTCGTTCATGGGGGCGAGATGATTCAGTGTTTAGAGCGCGAATTAATAACTGGAAGGTCCGTGGTTCGAACCCAACCTCTGCCTCTCGACTTCCCCTGTCTAGGTTTGGGCAACCTGGCAGTATCCCAGCCCTCGGGCTTCCCTCTGCTGGCATGGAAGTTAAGAACTGAAACGACTCATGGAAGTCCCCAGGACAGTCGAGGTCCTCAGCATCGTTGTTTCACGAGGCAATAATATGCCCTAAAACCTCAATAACGTCATATCCCTCTCCTAAAAGAACATACTCCGTCTTGGGAGGTCATTGAGAATAAGGTAACAAACGAACGGAAACCGAGAGCCCAGATGTGCACTCAAGAACTAAACGGATACAAGCGTGATTGCTAGTCAGGTGTTAACGGTGGCGTTTGGTTTTGATAGGCTGACTGACAATCACTGCAGTCTAGTTGATTGGTCCAATGGCCCGTATCCATTAAGTGCTTCAAGATTGCCTGACCCCGTTTCAAGAGATTGTTGATGAACTGTAACCTAAAAGCAGCACTAGGTGCTTTTCCGACTAGCTTTTGTTTCACTTGTGATGTACTCTGACGTGCTGTTATGCTTGAATGCCAGTCATTTATATAAATATAATGCATATGTAATATTATATATATATATATAACATAGGCTTTTTGCTGGTGTTGTCTGTATGCACTTGCTATCAAAGATAAAGGGATNTTTTCCATACAGACGCCTTATTCGTCCAAACCGACAGTGTTCCGTCAAGCTCGGGGGGAAGGGGGGCTGTTCTACCATCCGTGTTATCTTTGACGGTTGAGAACTTGGAAATGGGTCATTTCTATCCTTTGTTGAATATCTTCAGCTCCAGCTCACGTGTCTTACCTTCCTCTCCCATCACAGCGTGGTGACATGCCTTGTGACGTGACGAACGATATAGGTTTACGTGAATGTCTAGTTCCGGAACCGGTCTATCCGAACATCGTTTCCAACGGCTACGCGACGACTGATGAAGAAGACGATGATGATCAAGCAACGGACGGTCATAAAAACAACGCGAACGACCAACGTGTCTCGGTGCGTTGAAGTCTTTCATCGATACTGCTATTTTCCGTCCACAAACAGTCAGAGTCCGTGCTTTTCAACTTAGCATGTCAGTATGGCGTCAAGTTCCGCATTTATCTTCACCCGCACCCCCGCCAAGCATGACACAACATGCACCGTATTTCATTCAAACAGTTCTGTGATCTTGCGCACCAATCGCGGTTATTCTATGGACGATAAACTGATCATTGTCTTCCGCTTGTCTTTGTTCACTGAATTGGGTTTGAAACCCTGTCTATTTTCAATACTTCACCCCTCCCCTCATTTCCTCCACGACCCTTGCATGGTCATAGGTTCTCAATTCTCTTTGATTTGTGCTCATTGTTTGTCGCATTTTATTTTTATATATCTGTGTACATCAGCGTATGTTTTGACCACATACGTGCATCGTCAGAGTCATCGTGTCGCGTTTGCGAGACTGGTATTGTCTCGCGGCATTTTTTTTGCGTTCCTGTTGCTGTACAACTCGTACAACCAAACGGTCTCCTTTCCTCTGTCTTCTTTTTTCTCACTTACGCGATGTTGCCTATCGTAGACAGGTCTTATTTGGTCGCGTGCGCCGCTTGATCGACCTAATTATACCCGGAAATGGATGCACCACGTGGTTGGTCGGCAATCAGGTACCGGTTTTGTCCCTTACGTACATCAGTCGATCAATTTAACCGAGTTAACCATTCTAGTTCAAATTGCTGGGTGCACTGGCCTGAAACGAACGTTTCATACGCAGCTGTCATCCTCGAAAGGCCGTCAAAACAGGAGACGTGAAAAGACCACATAGGTAAACATTTTGTTCGCACATTTGATTCACCTGCCAGGAGGATGTTTCTAGACGATCGGTAAATATGATTTTTGCGCCTGAAATTACACGGGGATAATTGTGTTGTGCCGTGACCTCAAGTGCCAAAGTGCAGCTGGGTGGTACGGTGAGAAAGTGGACGGTTGGTAACACGTTGTACCGTGTGATAAACGTGCGTTGGTATGATCTTTTGGATGGGCTACTCTGGACAGATCACTACCACCCTCAGCGTTCTTGGGGTTCGTCAAATGGTCCCACCATTTCCGTCAACTGTATTTCCTAATTAAGCATCCAAGTCTGGCCCTTTTTCCATACCCACTGCTTGACTGGTGTTGACGGGAGATCTAGCATGGATTCGCTCTTAAGCCCTGCTTATGATACCGTTTGAGCGGGAACGATGTTCCAGATATCAAAGTACATTTCTTCAGTTATTCTTTGCCATTGCTTGACTGGTGTTGATGGGAGACCTAGCTGAGATTCGCCTGAAGCTCTGCTCGTGATACCGTTTAACCATCTGGTATTTCAGCTGGAACGATCTTTAAGATGTCGAAGTACATTTCTTCAGTTATAACTTACTGACTTATCGGATCTCCTCTGTGATGTCCAAGGAAGGTAGAAAACAGCTGTTAGCATTCGGAAGCTGGACTTGTTCATACAGCTCGTCAGCCGGAAATGCGCCTTCTCTGTGCCAGCGAGCTCTACTGTACTCAAATGAATCGTTTACGAAGTGGGACCAAAGCACCCATCAGAAAGTTGGGTTACCGGTCGAAGAGACGATCGAACTCAGCATTTTGTGGCAAGCGAATTCAACCCTCAAACCCGCACTGACGTCATCTCTATTGATGAGGAAACGTTTACCCAACTCAGAGTGGCGTAAACAGAGAGGTGGCTAGCCCTTGACTTGGCAGAGGAGTATGAAGGAGATCACGAAACGCTTGTGTGCTGTTGGTGCTACTCGCCTTCTAGGATGGGGACCGCGTGCTGGTTGGTGACACTACAAGATATGGCTGCCGACCGATGTCAGTGGCGTTCTTGTTGTCAGATTTTATCCAGATTGTCCGAGTGAATGTCTGGAGGCGTAGACACCTCGGAATGATTGTGGTAAGCTAGCACTAAGTCCCTCTCCTGTCCACTTTTATTCTTTTCTTTACAATAAGGCATTCAAATAAATCATGGTTGTACGGCAGTGAAGCATCGGTGTTGAACACGGATTTCATGCTGTCGATGATGATGATGATGATCAGTTGACTGATTACCTTCTCAGGTAATGTAGATAAACTAAATCAGGTTTCGTTAATGCAACCTTCATTTCTTGGAACAACTATTTACCATCGCATTACTTTCCGCTGCGAATTCTAACGTACAGGCGGGGCTATTGTGTGGTTCTGATGTTTCTTCTAATATATGCGTACTCAGAGCTAAGCAGCACTCCCACTGAAACAAATTCAAGATGCGATGGTGACTCCGTGGCCACAAGCGGATCCCCTATAATTTGAATTAATTACATCCATCGGATTACACCGTAGCCTCACTCTTCTACAGACGAAACAAGCCCAATTTTTTAGAAGTGGTGTACTTTTAAACTCTCGCTCTCTCTCTCTCTTGGCTCTACTTTTTCCGGTGTAAGGAAGGCAGAAAAATCTGATTGTACTTGAAAACTGGACTAATTTACACAGCGGGTCAACCGAAAATGTGCCTTCTCTGTGCCAGCCAGCTCTGCTGTACTCAAATGAATCGTTTACGAAATGGGACCAAAGCACCCATCAGAAAGTTAGGTTACCGGTCGAAGAGACGATCGGACTCAACATTTTTTGGTAAGTGAATTCAAAACCCCCCTCAAACCCGCACTGAAGTCATCTCTATTGATGAGGAAACGTTTACCCAACTCAGAGTGGCGTAAACAGAGAGGTGGCTAGCCCTTGACTTGGCAGAGGAGTATGAAGGAGATCACGAAACGCTTGTGTGCTGTTGGTGCTACTCGCCTTCTAGGATGGGGACCGCGTGCTGGTTGGTGACACTACAAGATATGGCTGCCGACCGATG